GCTGATCTCGCGACGGCAGCCGCGATATCAGGCACGCGAAGTAACTCTATACCGCGATAAGCCAAGTTAAAGTGCGCAAAGGAAAAGAAGAGTTAAAGTCGATGTAACTAAATAAATGATTTTTATTCTACTCAAACTACATATTTACTACAACGGCGGAACGACCCTGCACGATCCCGAACTCCTTAGTTCTAATTTGGCCAACGATCCCCAAAAATTCGCTGTGCTTCCACGGAGGCACAACACAATTTAGATCATGAAGAAACTACTAATAGTAACTCAATACTAATAGTAACTCAAGTAATTCTAGTATCGACGATGAAAGTGAGGATAATGCTGTCAATATTGATAATAAAAATGATGATCAATTAAATGATGAAGAGAATCTTGAAATGGTAGTAGTATTACAACCAAACAATTCGTGGACAAGTGATGAAATAATAGTGAATATTTTAGAATTGTATATTCGTCATAAATGGACTAAAGCAAGTTTGCAAGATAATTTGTTACTTTTGCGAAAAGTAGCTTCTGATAAAACACAAATTCCTAGCACAATTTATAAATTATTCCAGTATATAAAAGATCGTGTACCTAAATTCACTACTATAAAACGTTTTTATTGTATAAACTGTTTAAATTACAGTAGCACTAAAGTTAACAATAATTGTTCTTTTTGTAATTATACGAAGTTTGCATTTTTTTTGGGGTTGATATCTATGAACAGCTAAAGTATATGTTTGAGAATCGTAACTTAGCTGTAAAGCTAAAGCCGTCATTTGATCATAATGAAGGTGTTATTAGTGATATAACTGATAGTTCCGAGTATATAAGAGTAAATTCTTGTAATGATAAGGGAAGATATGATTTGACTCTAGTATTAAATACTAATGGTCTTTCTATTGTAAAAAGTTCAAAAAGTCACTGCTGGCCATTAGTAATTTTTTTTTGTAATTTCAGAATTGCCAGAGTATCTTAGAGAATCTTATTTAATTATGATAGGTTTATGGTACGACGATAAACATAAACTACCAATAAATACATTTTTTGAGCCATTTTGTTCAAAATTACAAAAATGTTTTGTTGATGGTATTCGATGGATTGACCCAGTAACTAACACAGAAGTAGTATACAAAATTGTAACGCCCTTAATTATTGCTGATGCTTCAGCAAAAGCTCAGCTGCAAAATATATTAAACTTTAATGGAAAATATGGCTGTAACATTTGTGAAATTAAAATGAAAAAATGTGAGAAAGTGCAAGGCAAAAAATGTTATCGTATATATCGTTATAACAATATAGAAAGTAAATTAAGAAATAGTAATCGAATGATAAAACAAACCGAACAACTCATTGGTTCAGAAAAAAAAACATAAAAAGGGTAAATCTAAAAACATAAAAAGTATTAATGGTCCTTCTATTATTTCTAGTTTACCACTGCTTGATTTAGGAACATGTGTAATTCCAGAATATATGCACTCTGTGTTATTAGGAGTCACTCGACAATTTTTAGATTTATGGTTTAATAAAAACGGACCGTGGTGTATAAAAAAATTTATTCCTGAAATTGACAGTATTTTGCTCAAGATTCAACCACCATATTTTTTCAACAGAATGCCAAGATCTATTAAGCTTCTTAAACATTATAAAGCTTCAGAATTTTATAACTGGATATTGTTTTATTCGCTGTCATGTTTAGTTAATTACTTACTATATGCATTTTTTCAACATTGTCTGCTACTTGTAAAATCGTTATTTATTTTGCTTCAAGATCAAATTAAAAAAAAACCGGATCTTGAATTAGCCGAAGATTATTTAAAATGTTTTGTCAAAAACATTGCAACTGTATATAATGATCGTCACATGACGTATAATGTACATCAGTTACAACATCTCGTTCTTATTGTAAAACAATGGGGCCCTTTATGGGCTACATCGGCATT